TCTCTGAAGGATCATGTGACACTTAAGACTGGAGTAAAGGCTGATGAAAATTCAGCTTTGCATCACAGAAATAAATATAAAGAATATTAAAACCGAAAACCATTATTTAAAATTGTAATAATATTTCACAATATTACTGATTTTGTCTTTTTGATCAAATACATGGAGGCTTGATGAGCACAAGAGACTTCTTTCAAAAACATTAAAAATAGTAATGTGTCCAGACATACTTCCTTAAACCTCCGAATATCCGTTGAAATGGTCTATTAACATTTGAAAGTATTGGTCAGATCATTAGTGTGAAGTTGTCTCTGTGTAGAAGGGAAACCGTGCAAAAGTGTGTGAACGTGTTTAAAGGGGTCCTATTATGCTCTTTTACAAAGTCTTGATTTTGTTTTGGGGTGTACTAGAACAGGCTCTCATACTAGGTTGTTCGAAAAACACATTATTTTTCACATATTTTACATTATTACAACACCTCTCTCCCCAGTCTGGCATGAACGGCTCGTAGTGAAATACGAAATGTGCTGTGATTGGTTAGCTGGACCAGTGTGTGACATTATTACAACACCTCTCTCCCCAGTCTGGCATGAACGGCTCGAATAGTTCCTGTATCAAATGAAGGCCCGCCTTCTGAAATACGTAATGTGTTGTGATTGGTTAGCTGGGCCAGTGTGTGTTGTGATTGGTTAGCTGGGCTAGTGTGTGCTGTGATTGGCAGCACTCGGCGCCTGGTTGGGAAATGTCATGGCTCTTACCATAGCCGCCTGCGAGCTTCAGTGTAAATATTGCGTCCAAATCAAATCAATTTGAGCGCGATTTAAACCCGGATGATTGTAACCACTCTAAGGTCGTCTGCCTTGGGAAAGCTAGCGTGTCTCCGACATAGTGATAACACTCGTTGCCTTCTCTATTGCAGTTCAACCAGATCTCATCCCATTCGTGGATATTTGTGATATCACAAACCCCCGAAAAATATGCGTTGTAGTCCAAACGAGTCTTTCGTTGTGGTTTTTGAAAAGTGATTTCTGTTAAATAAAATATCTCCTTTTGAAGTGGACTTTGAGCGTTGTAACTTTGCAGATCTTTTTTATGCTCAAACAGCAACATTACAGACTAACTAAAGTTGAAAAAGTGAAAAAGCATAATAGGACCCCTTTAACACTCGTACTCTTTGACGTCTCTGAGCTGCTCCAAATCCTGTGGTTTGGTGAGGTCTGGATCATGAGCTAGAAGATGGATCATGTATGGCACCACATATTCTGGCAGGAGAGACAGCAGAAATTATCGTAATCCCACTGTGCATGAAGCGCCTGCCGCCATTGTTTTGAATGCGCTCAAACACTAACCGGAAACGTCCAAGGAACAAAGTTGTCACTTCCTTAAACCTCCGAATATCCGTTGAAATGGTCTATTAACATTTGAAAGTATTGGTCAGATCATTAGTGTGAAGTTGTCTCTGTGTAGAAGGGAAACCGTGCAAAAGTGTGTGAACGTGTTTAAAGGGGTCCTATTATGCTCTTTTACAAAGTCTTGATTTTGTTTTGGGGGTGTACTAAAAATATGCGTTGTAGTCCAAACGAGTCTTTCGTTGTGGTTTTTGAAAAGTGATTTCTGTTAAATAAAATATCTCCTTTTGAAGTGGACTTTGAGCTTTGTAACTTCGCAGATCTTTTTTATGCTCAAGCAGCAACATTACAGACTAACGAAAGTTGAAAAAGTGAAAAAGCATAATAGGACCCCTTTAACACTCGTACTCTTTGACGTCTCTGAGCTGCTCCAAATCCTGTGGTTTGGTGAGGTCTGGATCATGAGCTAGAAGATGGATCATGTATGGCACCACATATTCTGGCAGGAGAGACAGCAGCTTTTCTGAAAAACAAAACAAAATATAAATAAATCAAACACACAGGATATAGAGGTCCTGGCCATTCCAGCAATTCTGCAGGAAATAGAGATATTGGCGCAGTGTTGTGTGTGATACCAGAAATCAGAAACGGTACCTACCATGGGCCATAGGGTTCTGTTTGATGTACTCTCTGCGAACACTGATGTTCTTGAGCAGGCACTGTCGGGCATGAGCACGTCGCTCTTTCACTGGGTCTTTAGCGCACAATGCAAACACAGCCATGTACTCCAGTGGCAACAACAGCTTTACTAGAGCAACATGCAACTTCTGAGCAAAGATCTGCCGCACCTGATAGCACTCGTCCTATAAAGAGAGGGGAAAGGGAAGGAAAAAGCTGAAAAGATGTGAAGTTGTGGCTAATATATGCTTTTGTAGCATGTTCTTATATGTCCACTTGTTATTTGATGATTCTTGTTATTGTTGTTTCTTGTTGTTTTAATAAGCATTTTTTTGGTTCCTGTACTTGTAAGATTTTTAAATATAAATAACATGGTAGAACATATTACATTTCGATTTATGCATTTGCCAAATGCAAGTGTCATTCCATGTTATTGACCTTGGCATTACTAGCACTCTCATCTACAAGGAAAATCCTTAGGGATGCACAATATATCAGTACCATTAACAGCTAATATTAGACATTTTTCAATTTATCAGCATCAGTCGATATTGGATATTTAATTGTAATGCTCATTTCACCTAGCTTTACATTTAGATTAACTGAGAATTAGATGACAGTAATGTTAATCTTTAAAAGCACTTAAATGTAATCCTTAGCAAATCTAAAAATGAATTTCCATTTTTTATACCGTACATTATAATCTTTTTATTCCTAAATTCACTTGTATCATTTAAAATGATTGATTTTGGTTTTATTTAGACAAAACAGTATAACATTTTAATTATCAGCCATGTCCTGTAATTTTAATAATTTAATAACTTTCTCTACAAATACAGTTTTCAGAATTGGTATACAAGAAGTCTTGTGTTGAACTCACATTAATGACGAGTCCACAGAGCTGGAACTGTTCTGGAGTGATGATTTCATGATAACAGGGCTCTTGTGCCAGTTTCATGATGGCGCTTCCCGCTGCAAGCCTCAGTCGAGACATGTCAGACTTGCTGTGTCCACAAATATGCGTGTTAGGGGCCTATTAGCTATATTAGGGCAGCTTTCATAATTGTATACAAAATCACTCTGGGGATGTTGACACCCAGTCGGTACCTGATCTTTTTCTGCTCAGTGAGGTCTCCCTCGCTAACCAGCATGGCTGAGAGGAGTCTGAGAGTAGAGTTAGCTGATTTAGACTGATTATTCTTCATTCCCAGCAACCAGCGGACCAACAGCTTAATGGCATGCACCTGGCAACACACATGCACATTAATACACACACAAATCACCAAGATATGTTGTTTTCAACCTGATTACTCAAAGAAATTTTACCTTAGCCAGCACTTCAGGGGAAACCTCATCGTCAGCTGTCCAGAGCCGTCCATTCTTGTTTCCCACAGACTGAGAGATAGAGAGGGCTTGTTTAACATGCAAGGCAATAAAACCATTCATACATGCTAAAAGCAGAACAGCACATCAAAATGCTTACCCTGTCATTCATCAGAAGGTCCTTCACGATAAAATTGGCTACAATTGACTTCATGGGTGATGCAAATTGATCCGGGGCCAGCATAGAAATGTGTCCAAGAGACACGAGAGGAGTGATGAGCTGTTCAGGCACGTCTGCATTCAGACTGCGAGACAACGGCTGGAACAAGAGACAGAGACAAAAAAACACATTTGAATAATTCTCATGCAGCAAAAATTTTCTTGATTGTAATATTCACATGATTTGACAGTCAAAAAAGTTATGCATTTGCTGCACTTTGATTTACCTCAAATATATTTATTTAGAAGATTGAGAATAACAGCTTTTAAAAGTAATAGCAAAATTTTGGAGATAGCCAGAATCCCTAGTGTTAAAGGACTGGTTACATTTAGTTTCCAAAGTACATTCTATGGAGATGATAACATGAAATTAAGAACAAAAGTGTACTTTTTGAAAAGATATGGGCACCTCTAAAAATAAACGGTATAATATACGTGTATATACATATACACATATACAAATATATATATGAGATTAATCGTTTGACATCACATACATATATATATATATATATATATACATAAAATATATAATAACTTTATTCCCAAATAAAAATAAATGAAATGAAAAGTGAACAATTACTGGAAAAAAAATATATATTATGTCTTTATAAAAGCAATGTTTATCTGTAGAATGTACTCAGTGAAACGAATGGAAAGACAAAGTATGACAAAAAAGAATTACCTCAAATATTTGAGCTAACTGGACCTCTTTGTTGTGAAAGATGGCGTGGATGCAGTGGACCGCCTGTTTGGCCTGGTGAGGGGTGCCTCGTTTTGCCTTCTGGTGTAGTATGGGAATTAGAGTCCTGCACAGTAAGGGTAACATTTCATTACACCAAACTTTTGAATTTGACATCAATAAAGCTGATGAGACTGAGGAGCTTGAGTGGAGTATGTAATGAGTGTACAGGTTTGGTACTGACTCTAAACAGTTTGTGTGTGAATGTGGGAAGTGTTCATACGAGCGGATTTGTGGCAGTTCTGTCTCAATCTTTTGTCCTGTGTTTCTGAAGATCTGTATTGCTGCTTCTGCCACTTTATCGTCCTCCATCTTCAGACACTGCAACAAAGACTCGTACGTCTCAGCCGAGTGGAACGCAGTGGGGTGAGTAAATGACAAAACCTGAGGTAGGGACAGATAGAACAGCAAACTTTAAAATATTATTTAAATTATAAAAAAATATTTAAATAAAATATTTAAAAAAACTTTAGAATATTTAATATATTATTTAAATTATTATTACAAATATTTAAAATATAATACATTAAAGTATTCAAGAACATGACTGAGAATGAGTCTTCTAATACTTGGTATTAAGGGGAGCAATAGCCCATATATTTTTTAGCAATTAATTTTTTATTAATATATTTTCATATTAACGTGACTGTATGTCTACATAGTACTTCAAACTCTTATTTAAAAAAAAAAATATAGAAATCCCTGATATTTAAACTTGTGCATTTGTAGTTACAAACAGTACCTTGAGTAGCTCAAGTCCAGCACGAATGGCAGTATCAGGGGTTACTCCCTCATCATCATCATCAGCAGTGCCCTCAACTGACTTATTTAACAGCTTAACCAGGGCACTGAACACACACACACATTATTGGTGATCCAAAAAGTCTACACAATACTTGCAGTTACACTTCATCCTCACTAGATGTCTCACCCTTAAAAAGCTATTCAGACTGTTACACAACCGTTGAGAGGAAAGAAGCACATGGCCCATATTGCGCCTATCTCTCTCCCACTCAATCAGTTTCTCTTCCCCTCTCATTCATGTTCTCACTTTACATCTGCAGGTGCACTGATAGGAGTCCATATCCGATATTGCACAAAGTGCATGCATTCTTTATTTCCATTTGTGCACAAAGTGCATGCATTCTTCAGTTCTAATTTGCTCTTCAGATTAGATTTTTTAAACTGATTGTCTGCAGTTATTTTGCAGGTGCCCAAACTGAAATTTATTTGGGCATTGTAGTCCATGTACAGTATATTTACAGTAGTTCTTTTAGTAACGAATTAAGCTTGATTGACAGCACTTGTGGAAAATAATGGGCTCATCCCTCACAAAAAATACTACAATAAAATGATTTTTAAAAAAAGTATTTAAAATTTTTTATTTTTTTTTGCTAGATGCATGTTCATTGACTTCCTTCCAAAACAAAGACATTTCTCATGAGCCGTTTGACCTCATCGCCTACCTGATGGCCTCAGAGTCAATGTGCACCGGTGCGATTCTCTCCAGCAAGAATTTCACCATCTCCAGGAATGGGTTCGTGGGCTGCTTAGGGAATGTTAGCTTCCGTGTGATTTCCCTCTAAAAAAAAAAAAAAAAAACCTTAGATGACTTATATCTGCTTAATATTTACATAGCTTTTTACAGTGTTGATCGGAACAGGTCTTAATCATATGCATTATATAAAGCAAGCTTATGAACAGTTACCATGTCAGCTTAAAAAAGTGCAGTACTGAATGTGATTGGTGGAGATAACGTTGTTAAACTCACCACACACTGTTCAGCCTGTTTACATGAGCAGGTGGGACTGATGAGTTGCTCAAGCTGAAGACGGAGTTTCTCATCCTCACCCAGAACCTGATTAAACTTCTTCATAAAGTCCTGAGCTTTACCTGGGTCTGGGAGATTCTCTGAGAGTGGGAGAGACGGATTACACATTGTAAAATCTGTAGGTTTTAATATCTATCCATTTACAGGCATTTATGAAGTATGAGCTTACTAGCAATGGTCATAAGTTTTCCAAACATGGCGCTGGTGTTTGCTTCAGACTACAGGAAGAGAAAAACAAATTAGTCACTCACCCACAGAAGCAAAATTCATATGTGCATTGTACACAGTCACAAAATAAGAACAAACTGCTTCTTTGATCACCACCACTCATTTCTAGCTGAACATTTGTTTAATATATATATATATATATATATATTTTTTTTGTCACTGGATCTGTCTTGTACTAATGCTTTGGCATGTAAAACGGTCAAGATAATAAAGCACTTTGATTAGGACAACACACACATACTCAATGTCCTTCACAACATTTTTAATAAAAAAATAAACAACACGCAAAGGACATGGCTCACACCTACAAGCAAAAAACTGTTCACATAGAAATAAATGCAAGCTTTAGCAGAGATAAAGATTATCAGTAATAAAACTGAACATTAAGGGCATTCAATTCAAACATCATCTAACTTAATTTACTTCTGACCATAGTCCAAGTATTTTCTTATCAACTGAAGCTGCATGAGACTCCTCAGGCCTGATAGTTCTGATTATATAATAATAATAATAATAATTCTAAGACCAAAATATAGAACTATTTTAATAAAACTGCAAAACTTAAAATAGAAATCTTGGGTGAACTATGACTTTAACAACTAAAGAGAGCATTAAGGTGAGTGTGAGTTATCAGACACTTTATTTAGTGTGTTTGTGTGTGCATGTTCCAATAATAGAGCCACATATGTAAGTGAGTGTATTCGTGTCTGTGTAACTTACTGTAGGTAATTTGTGCAAATCCAGCAGTTCTCGAACCAGCCCTCTCAGCATATTCTGACACTTCCACATTTCATTCAGTGCTCTGAAAAACAATGAGATGCTCTGCTTGATATAACTGAACACATGAGTGCTGTTAATAGAAGTACAGTGATACTGTCCAAAACTGTCAGATGAGAACCAGAGACTCATATCTGATAAGCTTTTAAAACAGTCGATTAAGACTCACTTGACTGCGTTAGTGTCCAGACAGGCATAAAGGTAGTACAGACACTTCATCTTCTCCTCAGTCTCCAGACTGTGAGGAACCATGTTCTGGGCAAAGATCTTCTCCACCAGCAACCTAATAAAACAAACACACTTTAAGGGCCTGAGGTTTCCATATTAGACATGCTTCACTGTTTTAATGTCAATAAATTAGTCAATGAAGCACATGAAACCATTTGTGTGTATGTGTGTGTCCTACTTGTCATCTATGCTGTTCTGGTAGTAGATGTGTAAGAGTTTGTCTTTGATCCAGCTGATTTTCAAAGCGGACTCCTTCCCGGCCTCATGGTGCAGACAGTACTTCTTATAAAGCTGAGCCAAACCCATCATTGCTTCCTTACGGACACGCCACTGAAACAAAACATGCTAATTTACTTTCATCTAAAAAAACAGAGGTCTTAAAAATTAAGGGATGTGTGGGGTTCTGTGTTCTTTCTCAGTTCTCATTTCATTTACATTCTAAGTGATTTGGATTTTAATTAGGGTTCCATGATATATCAAAATAAAATCTATATCTCAACATTGAGTTGAGTGTGACTAACAAATCGCAATGCACTTTATCCTATTTTCCAGAATATAAGTTACGTTTTTTTAACTGTGTTGTGACAAATTCCAAAATTACTTATTTAACGTCAAACAAGCAAAGCATGGGCAAAGTGCACACAAATACAGACACACACAACATATCAGAAGACGCAGACACAGTTACACTGCTCAGTTACTCAGCGTACCACCATGGTGTTGTTCCAAATGTGCGCATGTCAAGGATGCTGTTATGCATAAAGGTAAGTGGATATTGGGATACGAGTGAATAATTCGGAATAATTCGGATTTGTGCTGAATGAGAGGTACGTACGCCCAACGCCGGTTTTACTTTACCAAGTGTTGTTTATAATGAATACCACTATAATGTTTATAGTGTAAATGTTTCATTTACAGACATTTTACATTATTTCTGAAAGTAATAACATGCGTCATATGACTTCTACACTGATGCGACTTATCTGTTTTTTTTTTCTCTCTCAATAATGCAATTTTGTCCTGGTGCGACTTATACTCAGCTAAGTGGATATTGGGACACGAGTGAATAATTCGGAATAATTCAGATTTGTGCTGAATGAGAGAGGTACGTACGCCCAACGCCGGTTTTACTTTACCAAATGTTGTTTATAATGAATACCACTATAATGTTTATAGTGTAAATGTTTCATTTACAGACATTTTACATTATTTCTGAAAGTAATAACATGCGTCATATGACTTCTACACTGATGCGACTTATCTGTTTTTTTTTTCTCTCTCAATAATGCAATTTTGTCCTGGTGCGACTTATACTCAGCTGCAACTTATTTATGGAACACATGGTAAATATATGCATTCTGTTAATATACAGTAAATATATTCACTAACCTGCAGCACATATATTTATTTGGTAACACTTTACAAAAAGGTTCATTAGTTAAAATTAGTTAACTACTTTAGTTAACAGGAACTAAGAATGAACAATACTTCTACAGCATTTATTCATCGTAGTTAGAGTTAATTGCAACATTTACTAATGCATTATTAAAATCAAAAGTTGTGCTTATTAACATTAGTTAATGCACTGTGAATTAACATGAACTAACAATAAACGACTGTATTTTCATTAACATTAACAAAGATTAATAAATACAGTAATAAATGTACTGTTCATTGTTCATTCATGTTAGTTAATACATTAACTAATGGAACCTTATTGTAAAGTGTTACCATTTATTTGCTGACAAAACAGCAAAATAAAAGCTTAATGGCTTAATGTTTGAAAATGAAGAAATTAAGATGCAAACAGTAGTATTGCACTTTTACAGTTGTACTATAAATGTATTTTTATTAAATACTTTATTTTACAGTGCAAAAGTCTCTTTTTAATAATTTTTCAATAATTAATTTTTTATAACTACAAAAAAAAAGGATCTAATATTATTAAATAGCCATACTGAATGGGTCAAAAAAGTGGGACTGCAGCCTAAGAGATAGAATTAATCATGATTCATTTAATCATGAAACTTAAACAATTTAACATCAATTTATTAAAAGTTTAACAAATATTACATGTTTAGGGCCCTATGAAATGTTTTATTTTTCCAACCTTATGTTTTATTGTAACCAAATTCTGTTTTAGCATTTCTAATTATTTGAAAGCATAAATGTGTGTGTGTGTGTGCGCGCACGAGCGCATCGGGCGGAACTCCGCTGTGCGTGATACAGAGAGCGCGACCATAACGTAGAGACCGAAATGACATGCCTTCCTGTAAATAAGATAAATAACATAAGGCTATTTAGTTTGCTTAATAAAAGAACAAGGTATATACCTGTTCTATAGGAAAGGTAACTTTAAATGACTTCTGTTGTGATCTGGCGCTATAGAGAAAATATAATTAAATAAAATTAACTTGACCTTCAAAGGGAGCGGGGGGTGCCGTTGCGGGGGCGGGCCGCCCCCCTAATATAATGGCATGCAGCCCTAATTTAAATTGAGCTCAAATGACTTTAGGGTACATCTTTCTCACCCTCTTGTCCAACATCCTCTCTCTGACGAATCCCAACAGTTGATCATTCACCAGGTTCAGGTCTTTCTTCCCTGCGTTGATGATGGTCACAATGACATCATGTCTGATTGCCTCCTCTGGGTCATGTGATCTCACCTTCAAAAAATCTGATGTGACAGACAGTTACGCAAGATGTTTACGAGTCAAGCAAATGCTTAAGATGGAATAAATCAGCCAAAATTAATCCTGAACACACCTGTAAGATCCTTGGCAAGGTCCGGGTGGTTCATCAGAGAGTGACTAGCAAACTTCACACATTCCAGTCTCACAGGAACATGGATGTCGTTGAACCTATGAGAGGAAAATAAAAAGCAAATCAGAATTCAACTCTCAAATAACATACATATTCCAAATCTGTCTTTCAGGCCAGTTTTTTTAATGGTAGGAGATCCTCACCTTCCCAGAAAGCACTGCCAGAGTGGGCGATTCTGAGTGGCCAGTTCAGAGTCCTTCGCTCCAAAGAGCTTAGCTAACAGTTTCACCACAGCCAACCTCTCCTCTCCATCATTACTCTAAACAGGCAACAACAAACAGATTTAGTCTTCCTCTAAAGGGGTTTGTCTGCAAGCTGGTGCGCAAGGAAATGTATGTGCATTTACTCACCTTCAATTTGAACTCAAGTTGTGGCATCACAGAGACAAGGAGCAGAGGGTCGATTGCAAAGAGCTCCTGAATGAGGTCAAATACATGCTCAGACAGATCACTCACGGAGGACTTTCCCATCACCAACACCTGATTAAAGAACTACGGAGAAAGAGATTCTTAAGTCAATACAACACAAAACAGGAATAGAACACGTCATTGAAATGCACTAAACTCTGAAAGGACAACAATTCAAATGGATGATTTTGTGACTCACTGAGGCAATGCAGGTTTCGATGGTCTGAACCGTTCTCTTCAGAAGAGTCTTGGCCAGGTCATATGCCTGCTTATTCAAATTCTAAAGCACAGAAAAAGGTACAACCACACACTGATTAGCCATCTGAGACTGGACTGGGAAATAAGACTGGGAAGTAAGATGTTTGTCTACTTTGTGAGCAGGGATGAGGTTGATGAGGATTGTGTCCAGCAGCTCTTGCGTCACTCCATCTCCCTCCATGATGATGGAGCTCATCAGGTCCAACATGTGCATCTGCACCTTCTGATTATGGCTGTTACTGGAAGAGGGAAAAGTCCTGATCAAAAAGAGTACAGCTGCGTAACAGAAGAGACGATTAATCTCACTTCAAATCAAACTCACTTGATGACAGAAAAGAGGGTTTTGAAGAGCTGGATGAAGATCTCATTACAGTCCTCCAATTCAAAACAGATGTTGTAGGACTTCACCCATGCCAGGTTCTGCGCAAGTGAAAGGTCAAAATTTTAGCTATGACAATCAGACTACGTGCTAAATATTATATGTGACCCTGTAGCACAAAAGCAGTCTTAAGTCGCTGGGGTATATTTGTAGTAATAGCCAAAAAAAAACAAACGGGTAAATATTGCTGCAATGTGGCTTATAATCCAATGAGCCTGAAAGTAAATTTAAAACATGCATGCATATACAACCAGTCATTTGTAAAAACACAGCAAAGAAAAGCTATGACTAAATGAAATGAATAAACTCTGACTGATTGAATAAACCATCTCACCTCTAGTAAGTAAAAATATCTGTTGAACTGAGGGCTCTTGGTATCCTCTAATCCCTTCAACTGTCGTGTAATGAAGAGGAAAATTTCCTAGATGGGGAAAAAAAAGAAAAAAGAAAATTAATGACATTGGTGTGCTTTTTTTAAACTGCTTACAGCTCATCTTAATTTTGTGTCGTTTTATATGTGAGAGTGGGATTGTGTGTAGGATGGTGAAAAATGTCAGCTTGACATGAGGTGCATATGCGTGATCAGTTTTTAGTTATATATTTTTAGTGTGAGCGGTCATAAGTCATATGTGAGATATGAATTTTATCTTTTGAGGAGTACATGTCATACCTTGAGCTTGTCATGTGAGGTGTATGGGGCCTCTGGAGCGTAGATCCTGAAGATATCAGCAAGACAGCAGGCCACAAGTAATCGTACATCTTTGTTGGGGTTTCGCAGGAAAAACTCAGATGCCAAGTGAAGAGCCAGAGCCAAGTACTGCTGCTTTTCCTCCTCTGAGTCTTGATCCATGTCCATATATGTCTTAACCACCAGCTATAAGACAGAGAGGTGTCATGTAATACCGGTTTACAGTTTCTCTTATACAGTGAGCAAAATATCTCAAACCATTTATTAATTTTGTAAAAGGTTCAACTTTAGACACAACCTACCTTTTACACATTGCATATCTGTAAAACCTATTTAACAAAACTTTAAACACTAAATAGCTTGTTTGCAATCACGTGATTCTAACGACGTGCAAAATTCAGATGGAGGGCAGGAAGTGAAAAGCAGAACGGATGAGATGGTACTGGTTTACAAACCCAATTCCAAAAAAGTTGGGACACTGTACAAATTGTGAGTAAAAAAGGAATGGAATAATTTACAAATCTCATAAACTTATATTTTATTCACAATAGAATATAGATAACATATCAAATGTTGAAAGTGAGACATTTTGAAATGTCATGCCAAATATTGGCTCATTTTGGATTTCATGAGAGCTACACATTCCAAAAAAGTTGGGACAGGTAGCAATAAGAGGCCGGAAAAGTTAAATGTACATATAAGGAACAGCTGGAGGACCAATTTGCAACTTATTAGGTCAATTGGCAACATGATTGGGTATAAAAAGAGCCTCTCAGAGTGGCAGTGTTCATCTATGTTGTATTCTGAATAAAATATTGAAATTTGAAACTTCCACATCATTGCATTCTGTTTTTATTCACAATTTGTACAGTGTCCCAACTTTTTTGGAATCGGGTTTGTAGACACTATTACAAGAGAAAGGTATAAACAGAAAATCACAACATATGTTGGATGTGATCCTAATGTTATGAAGGAGCGATTTTTCAACTAAACTGAAATACTTGCCTGCCATCGAGGTGGATGAGGATATAGGCTAAGCAATTGCTCACCTGAACTAACCCTGATTGCAATCAAGCTATTTCGAAAGTGAATCCCACATTTATATGAGGGATGCGGGATATATCACTCCTGAAACTTTGCTGCATGTACAGGGTATGTGGCCGCTGGTCCTGTTAGCAGCACGTATAACAAAACTTTTATTCAAACTCTGAATTGATTATAGCCTAGAAAGCGAGCAATTAGCGCTTCCATATAATCACTAAAAAGCGGTCACTCACTTTAATTTATCTCAATCTCACAATGTTCCGCTATAATCAGTGAAGCTCTCTAAACTGCACATATAATATCTTATTTACATTGTGTCTATGTGTGGCGTTTAGCATTGAGTGAATTCTGACTGTCTCATGCCGAATGCACGAGAGTTGGCAGCCCTGTATCTATTTATTTATTAATATCTTAATATATTTTTATATCTTATATTAACCATTCGCACACATGAGCATTATCCGACTCGGCTCCTCCCGACCAAGCCACTTTTTCCTGCGTTTTTCAGTCAATTTCTTGCCTTTCCCCCCCCCTTATGAACAACTAATTTCCGTACGCGATAAAAGCTCCTTGAGGTTTCTCGGTTTGAGCATCCATAAACAACGCAAAACTAACTTTTACTGCATCAAAACCAAACCGCAACTTGGCAAAATAACAACACACTATTATTTTTCTTGTCAAAGTTAAAGAACGTGTTTGTTTTGTAAGAGCACATTTGTGAAGAGCACAAATAAGGCTTATTAAACATTGACTCTGGAAATCAATGCATCAGGTCACATGTGTATATGTAGGTGGACACTGATTATGGATCTTATTTTTTAAAGCTTTTTGTTTTAATGCCAAGGTGTCTGTGAATTTCTGCACATACAAATGTGCAACATGGCAACAAGTGAATGCGATTATTTTAAGAAATGTAACTACTTTATTATTTTAAAATAGTTATTAGAAAATCTTATATTTACATTCATATTAACATGTTCTGGTCCTCCAATATACCATGAATGCTGATACAGAGTACAGTATAGGATACAGTATATCACACTGCTTGTTCACAATGTTCCATATTATGCATGTGGTGCAGAGTGACCACTTAAAAGTAAGAGTTAGGGGTGGGTGATATGACAAAATCATACATCACGATATCAGTAATTTTATTTCATGGTAACGATATAATATCTCGATATATTTATTTTTGCTTTAAATAAGGTCTTTATGATATCAACATTTTTGATAACAGAAATTTCATAATTCTTGTCACCAGCGTCAATATCACAAAAAAAACTAATACTAGCCTAAATAAAAAAAATAAAAAAAAACAACAAACACTCAAGCTCACTGAAGACAAGTAAACTGGCAGCGATTAAATAAACTAATTACAAGCAATAGGACAAAAAAACTACAGTAGAGCAAATAAATAAGAAATGCTACATACATTGTATGAAGTAATCACATGTATAAAAACACAGCACAGCAGGAATATTAGACTGCTGTCACTTTATGAGCTGCCCGGATTCAATATTTGTATTGAAAAATCCATTACTTGTCTGATTTAGTTCTGATTAAGTTTGGGAGTAATTTGGAATAATTACTGACTACCAAAAATAACATTGTAAAGGCCCTCGCAGGTGCAGTTCAGACTGTAATCTTTGTTAAGGGAAATGCAAATAGTGACAGATCTTTTCCTCCGTATTGTGACATGTAAAGCTGTGTGAAATGGATTATCAAACAAAAATGTAGTGCAGGGACTAGATCTGTTGTTGATTCGATTTACCTCTTCATAAAAGCAAAGTCATACATTGCTAAAGGTAAATAATTAAGCTATTCTTCCCTGTAGAACTCATCTTTCAGAAGCATGCAACACTTCCAGGTCTAAGACCCAGCAGAAATTATGTTCTCTACTTTCTGCCTCTCTCTGCCGCCTGTGAGTGTGTGTGTGTGTGTGTGTGTGAGAGAGTGTTTTGCAAAGTGGGGGAAGGGCGGCTTGTGCTCTGAGCTCAAGGACAGCAGTTGAGCTTCACTCACTTTGAGCGTCAAAACAGCACACTGGCAAAAGCAGCAAGCCCAGCAGTCACTCCAAATACCTCCAAAAGACTCAGATACCCTCCCTAACAATTTTTACCACTTTTGCACATTTAATAAGAGAATAATAGAGTGAAAGAATCTCTGGAAATGTGTATGAATGGATTGCTACAAAAAGTTCTTTAGTTCATGTGAGAGAAAAAAGTAACTTATGGCACTATATTTTATGGAGATTTCACAATTATTTCCACCATCTGTGGATTTTTTGGGGAGGTGACCTAATTCATGTTTACTTCATGAAAAGCACAACCTCAGACCTAGAAATCAGACCGTTAAATGTGGTTTGAAACTACTCTTTATGGTCAGAACATGACAAACATGTCACGTTTTTGAATTCTTTACACTTTTTCAGTCATTTTTCCTCAACAAAATAAATCTTAATTGAAAAAATAATTTCTTAGTTTCTGCATGTTCTAATGAGTGATAGTTTCAAATCATGAATCAGGTTTGTGTTCCTGACTTTGAAGACGTGTATCTTCAGCACAGTTTGCAGTGCAGGCTGCAATATTAAATTTTTTCTCTTAGAAATGCACATCTGACAGTAGCTTGAGTTGACAGTAGTAGCAGCTTGAGTTTGGATGCAGATGTACATTTATGTTCATTATCAAAAACAGTAACATCTGTAAACATTGTAACAACCTCATTTTTATATGGTGAAATGTAGGCTAAATATTCTGACTGTTTGAGATTTATTAAAATTAACCATTCAACCCTCAACGGACACCTTGGCAATTGAATCGCCATTGGCTAGTATATTTTTTTGTTTACTCGCCAGACTGAAATACTAATATATATATATATATATATAAGTTATGCCATTTTACAAACATATATAATGTTTGTAAAATGGTACAGCTTTTTAAATATCTGAAAGTACACTCTTAATATCAGTCAGTCAAGCAGTATAATATGATAATCAATATGATATTATTATTTAATAATAGAAGTTTAGTAATTAGAATTAAAACTTGGTAACCATGAACTTAGGACTGGTGCTGGTGCTTTTTTTGGTCATTCAGTGTTCCTGTAAAAAAAAAACGAACAATAATACTGATAAGATATTATTATTATTATTATTATTATACGAATTCTACTAATAAGAACAATATAAAAACGCACTAGGGATTAATGAGCTACTGGATTCATGAATATTAATCAGGTTGTGTGCGTTTGCTCGAACTGATTCGCTGAAATCAAAACAGGGACGATAATAGGTGATCACCAGCCAATGAGATTGTCGTTTGCGCATTAGTTCCGCCTACTACAGGAAAACCCGGCGGTTCTTAAAAGCTGAAGAATTCCAAAGGAACTCCGTTATTTTTACAGGAAAATACAACAAAGAATATCGTTTACATGCATCACATCAATTCTGCATGTTATGTAAGACTCTCGCTCGCTCTCGCTCTTTGCGCGTGTGAGAGAAAGCGCCGGCGAGTCGTGCGCCTTCACACTAGAGTTTACGTTACGCTAAATACACAAACACAGGTGCGCTGCGCATCCATTCAAATGAACTGAAAAATATCACAGATCGCTTGACGGAGAGTGAAACTCTGAAGCGCTCAGTCAGAGTGTTCTGTGAGTGAAAATATATCCGTGCTAATCATATACTCAGCCTCCAACTCACACACTGGCAAGTAAAATCTGAGGATTTATTAGCCATTGGCTAATATTAGACAATTTAGTCACCCAGAGTGAAGATTTAGGCGCATATGCGAGTGATTTACTCGCAATGTAGAGGGTTGCCATTGGTCTTCCATAGTAGCATACATTTAGATCATGATAACCACATATAGAACCACACATATTGCACCTCAATACCATGGTAAAAATATAACTATATGGTTTCTAGGTATTTGTATGAAAAACAGTAGTCTAAATACATTTTGTATAAATGCAAATGCTATAGCTTAATCACAAAAAATACTGAAATTATAATCCATTACTCCTTTAAGACATTTAATACATGTGTACATTAATGATATAATAAAATTCGATATGAATATCCCACATTTCTGCCACAATATTAGTGTTACTATAGTAAATCCATGGTAAATGATGGCGATTTGTAGACTGAAAGCCTTCTGACTATCGTTGCTCACAGTGTTTCTCCGGCCATTCAACACTGAATGCAAATAGTGACACACAAGTTGAAATGTAGGATTATAAAGGATTTTAGAGACAGTCTACAAGTTGCATTGGTCTCTCAGTTGCACTTGAATGCGTAAAACACTCAAGCTTGGCTTCACTTTACAGAACTACAGGATCAAGAGGATGAGGCAGCACAACAATGCACTAATGGCGCTTTTCCACTGCGTGTTACGGCTCGGTTTGCGTTTCCACTGCAGTTTAGTATCGCTGTAGAGTGGGCGGGATTATTCACATGTTGTTATAGCCGCGTCGCCCCATCATCAAGCTCGCTGGATCCGCTCATCTGCTATCAACGAGAGGAACGTCTGTACTTCCTCAACAGGGGGAACAGCCACTTTAATCCGTGATCAGCAGAGTTTACACGTCACGTTTTGGTCACGAGATGGTACTAAAAAAAAGTACCAGGTACCAGGTACTGTACCCAGTGGAAAACCCCCCAAAAGTGAACCGTACTGAACCGTACCGTGCCGTACCATGCAGTGGAAAAGCGCCTTAATATATCTCCACCATATTACACTACATTTTCATTTCTAATTCAAACAGTGCGGGAAAACGCATGCACACTTTTATTCTCAATAACATGTAGGTGAGAATTAATAATCCACAGATGATGAGCTTGTCTTTCTATCAAATTGTCATTCAACAAACAGTGCATGTGAATCTCCCCACAATTATTTCCAAAGTGAAGGAAGTGCCACAAGCTCATATGCTGAACTTCAGTTGCATAACACAGAGTAGGGCTGGACGATATGGCCAAAATTGATATCACGATATATTTCTTAATTTCGGTCGATACGATATAATTCCGATATCGATATGAACACTATTTATCTGAAATAGAAATCTTTTGTAACATTATAAATGCCTTTATCAAGCATCTTTAAGCTTTATTTTTAAGCATCCTTGCTAAATAAAAGTATTAATTTCTATAATTCTTTCCC